AGGATTGCATAAGGAGGAAGAGAGGCTTTAAGAAAATAAACTGTGAAATTGAGTGTTTAACAGTTGACTAAATATTTTTAAGATATTTTAAATGTGCTGGTGATCACTCTTTGATTTTATGAGTTTCTTACCCACAACTTGTTTCAACTGATGGCTTTTGCCCTCTGTAATGGGGTTTTCCCTTGGTAAGAATCTGATAGCATTGTATGGACATATCTGCAATGCAGATCAACACTGATTAAAATTTTTATAATCACCACTTACAAGAACCTTCATTAAACTGTGATGTAAGCAGATTACCCAGATGTGAATATAATGAGCATACACTCACCCAAAGGAACCTGCAGGTGCAGAGTATCCCTTTGACTGCCCACGTAAACACAGCCCATAGGACTGTCATGTTAAAGCACCGTCCTCTCACATTGTGCTATCCTGAGCAGACAAATTAATTGTTTTTCTTTAGTACAGTAAGTACTACAGCTGAAAGATTATATCTTTACAATAGAGTGGATTTGGTTACAGAAAACTCAAGGCTAGTTGTAGGTTTTCTAAGAAAAAAATAGGTTGTACCATCTGTAGGTCAATGCTGCCAGGCTATGCCCTCGTAACACATAAACACACTCAAAAACCACATTGAAATTAAAATGTGGTTGAACGCTTATGACTTCGAGCAGGACACTGACCTTTTGCAGAAGCTTAACTGTAGGCTAGAAGTCATAGGGAAATGGTAGCTTCCATCTCTGCTAAAAGGGCCTCTGTCCCAGTCTATGGTGAAGGCTAATGTGCCACACAGGGCTCACTGACCTGTTGCTATGCGCCAGCTCTGTGTGAGCGCTGCTGACGATCGCCCGGGAGGTAAATCTAGTCTAATCTTCTTAGTCGTGCAGTTACACTATCTGGTTGTATCCAAGCTGCTACATATGGTTTACTGAGTCTGATAAACAATGTGAATAAGCCTCTACACTTAGTGCAACTGTTACATCTGTTGGAGGAAGAAGGATTCAGTATCATCACCCATCTGTTTAGTCTGTATGTTGTCAAACTGGAGAGGTAATCCTTAATATTGATACAAAAATAAATAAATTCTCTCCTTTCTGACTGTGTTTTTCACTCGTTTTGCATTTGGCCAAGATCAGTGTCACTGCAGGTGATACCTGGACCGTACAAAGGTTGCACAGGTAGTCCAAATGCTCCAGGATGGCACATCAATACGTGCTATTGCCAGGTTTTCTATGTCTCCCAGCACAGTCTGAAGAACATGCAGGAGATTCCAGGAGACAGGCAGTAATGTAGGAGAAACAAGGCTGTAGAAGAACCTTAACCCATCAGGTGGACAGATCATGTATAACACCACCACTCAGACCTGCACCCCTGACTAACAAACATGCCTGTACCCGTGACCTGAGCAATCGTCTGAAAACTGTTG